AGAGCTGCTAAAAGTTTGTGGAGGCTAGGCAGGCCAATGGTCTAACTTGGTACAAGGCAGCTTTCTGTGTTCCTATGGAGAGGCCCACAACTGACCTTTGCAATATAACAGCTAAGACCAATCTAGTTCCTTGTAGAATCACATAATTGTCAAGTTGGAAGGGATCCCAAGGGCCATCTGGTCCAACTCCTTGCAATGCAGGGATCACAGCTAAAGAACCCCAGAGAGAGGGCCACCCAACCTCTGTTTAAGAACCTTCAAGGAAGGAGAGTCTGCCACCTTCTGAGGGAGTCCGTTCCACTATTGGACAGCTCTCACCATCAGAAAGTTCTCCCTAGTGTTTAGTTGGAATCTCCTTTCTTATAACTGGGATCAGCAATGTGAGATCAGGTGGCTGGGCTAGCTGGGTCTTTGGCCTGATCCAGCAGAGCTCTTGTTATGCTCTGATAGCGGTGGATGTTTCCTTTCTGCTTCTCACTTGGGTGGGAGAGATCCATGGCCCAGGGTGGTGAATCAAAGGGAAAAACCTAGCTGAGCATTATGTGTAAACCTGAAGATACCTGAAGATACATGAAATCATTAAATGTATCATCCTCTGGATGTGACAAACGATGCATTAATCTGTACTTTGCAGCCTGCTTTTTCGGCATTAAACCTGGAGAGATATCCCTAAGGCTAAGACTCCCTTGATCTATTTCCCCTCCTCCTACAGGCATTTCTGGAAGCTGAAAGTTCAATATTTTACTGCTGTCTGACACAGAGATTTGGAGGAGGGAAGGGGGAAAGTACCACTCTGCTATTAGGTTTGCAGTCCCTGGCTGAGTATTTTCAAGGAAACGTAAGTCTCTTTTTACAAGTCTAGCAGCGTTGATGGAAACACGGTCAGAATATATTAGCCCTGCGCTGCTTCGACTTCCCCATTTTTCAAAACAACATCAGACAGCATTATCTGTCCTGGAGCCATGCTTGGATATTTCCTTTTTATTTACAAGAAAAGAGCACCATTTCTTGGGGGGTATCTTGTCTTCCATTCCATTATTTCCACTGCTCACTCTGTGTATACACACATCTTAGCCAAACTTCCACAGGCAGGAAGCAAGTAGCTTGCCTGGAATTCAGGACCACATTCCAGGAGAAATATCGAGAGGAAAAAGAACTGCAGCAACGTTTTTGTACTTCTTACAGATATGCATCTGCCTCCCCCAAATTCACAAAGCAAATTTATATTAAATCTGCATCTTCTAATGGCCATTGATAGAGTACTGCATTAGTTTCTGGTCTTCCTCCTTTTCCTTGACCCTCTTGAAAGCTCTTTTGGTTTGTTCTCTAAAAAGAAGGTATTTCTGTGTGCTGTTTTTGTGATCTGGCCAATCAAAGGTTGTATAGCCAGCATATTATAGTACCATGTAGCAGGTTGATGGAACTTTCTTTCATATGTGGTGGACTTGTAATAGGGTTGTGATAGGGTTGTGTCCAGGGCGAAAATCTGAACACCAATGTTGTTGATTGCCATTTCTGATCTATTTTGAACTATTATTTATGAAAAACAGCACTGCCCACATTCCTTGCCATACCTCTGGATTTTCTTAGACATCTTGCCAATTTTTGCCTGAACACTGCTTTCAACCACAGTATTCTGGGTATGTCCAAGAAATTCTGGGTGTATGGCAACCCTAACTTGTAAGAAAGTGAGGGTTTTGGGGGACATGACATATGACAAGGTAAAAAGGATGTTTAAAGTGATTATACCAAAACAACCGGAAGCCTTTATCTTAGGGATTATAGGGACAGAAGTTCCAAAAAAGACGATTAAGTCATTTATGTAAATAACAACAGCAGCCAGGATTCTCTACACCCAAAAATGGAAGGAAGAAGTAGTTCCCTCCAAAGAAGAATGGATAAGTGAGATTGTGGACTATGCAGAATTGGCAAAGTTAACAGCCAAAATAAGAGAATCTAATGATGATTGCTTTGTGAAAGAATGGAAGTCCTTTTCTATTTAAGTAAATATTATAGTATGATGAACTCGCAAGCAGGCCTTGAAATATGAGCAACAGAAGGAATTAGAGAATACAGTAGAGATGTGTTGGTATAAGAGGTATTGTGCAGCAGAGGGGGAGAAATTAAAACAACATGGAAAAAGTCAGAAAAAGACAAATTTATTATGAATTGAAGTATATATGTCAAATTTTTGAAAATTTTATAAAATTTATTAAAGCAAAAGGTATTATAGGTAAAGGTAAAGGGACCCCTGACCATTAGCTCCAGTCATGGCCGACTCTGGGGTTGCGGAGCTCATCTCGCTTTACTGGCCGAGGGAGCCGGTGTACAGCTTCCGGGTCATGTGGCCAGCATGACTAAGCCGCTTCTGGCGAACCAGAGCAGCACACGGAAACGCCGTTTACCTTCCCGCTGGAGCGGTACCTATTTATCTACTTGTACTTTGACATGCTTTCGAACTGCTAGGTGGGCAGGAACAGGGACTGAGCAACGGGAGCGCACCCCGTCGCAGGGATTCGAACCGCCAGCCTTCTGATTGGCAAGTCCTAGGCTCTGTGGTTTAACCCACAGCACCACCCACATCCCTAAATTATAATACCACATAAACCATCAGATTTCCTTAGATGGTGACATCACAAAACTGTATCAGCAGAGTCAAAAGGATTACTGCTCTTCCTCTGAATGGCAGAAGATTTTTACTCCAATTTGCAGCCCCTCAAACTATCGTCCAAACTAGAGGAAAAACTTTTTTTTAAAAATGCGATCATCTTCTCCCCCACCTCATTTAAGGTCAGGGTTATTCTAATGGCTGCAAGTAAAGCTTGACCTGTTTATGCAATCCAAGTTTTGAACTAATTCCACAGAGTCCCTGAGATAGTCCTCTTTCTAGCCAGCTGTGATGAACAAGTCCAGGTACGTTACCTCTGCTCTTGTCATTGGCGCATGAGTGAGCAGTGACCATTTAAGCATGGGAGTAAAAAACATGCTTGATGAATCGAAAAAGAGAGAGAATAATTTATGCAGAAAAACCACTTTCAGCACTTTTCTACATGAATAATAAAGTGCTGGAGAAATCCCCCAAGAGACCACAACCGTGTCGGTAATAAGGAAAAGTCTGAAAGCAGAGTTTGGGCGCATGTGTCTGGAAATTTTCCCTTAACACTATTGGCCGAAGCAGCCAATATACTAGGGCTGTGCGCATTGGCTCTGTGTGTACCACAAATTGTGAGCCAGGGTGGTGGAGAGGGAACCAGGGGGGCGTAGTGGTTACAGTTGTTGGGCCAGGACCTGGGAGACCAGGGATCAAATTCTCACTTGGCCATGAAGCTCAGTGGGTGACCTTGGGCCAGCCACTACCTCTCAGCCTAAACCACCTCACAGGGTTGTTGTGGGGATTAAATGTGGAGGGAGAGAGCCATGGAGCCACTGAGCCTTGAGGTCAATGGAGTAAGGTCAAGGTACCCCTGCCCGTATGGGCCAGTCGTGTCCAACTCTAGGGTTGTGCGCCCATCTCACTTAAGAGGCCGGGGGCCAGTGCTGTCCGAAGACACTTCCGGGTCACGTGGCCAGCGTGACAAGCTGCATCTGGCGAGCCAGCGCAGCACACGGAAATGCCATTTACCTTCCCGCTAGTAAGCGGTCCCTATTTATCTACTTGCACCCAGGGGTGCTTTCGAACTGCTAGGTTGGCAGGCACTGGGACCAAGCAGTGGGAGCGCACCCCGCCGCAGGGATTCGAACCGCCGACCTGATGATCGGCAAGTCCTAGGCGCTGAGGTTTTACCCACAGTGCCACCTGCGTCAAAGGTGGCATATAAAAGCAATACAGTGGTACCTCGGGATACATACACTTCAGGTTACAGACGCTTCAGGTTACAGACTCCGCTAACCCAGACTCCGCTAACCTCGGGTTACAGACCGTTACAGACTCCGCTAACCTCGGGTTAAGAACTTTGCTTCAGGATGAGAACAGAAATAGTGCTCCGGCGGCGCAGCAGCAGAGGGAGGCCCCACTAGCTAAAGTGGTACCTCAGGTTAAGAACAGTTTCAGGTTAAGAACGGACCTCCGGAATGAATTAAGTACTTAATTTTATTTTCAATCCTAAAACAAGCTCAACAACTTTGGTCGGCTCTCACTTCATCAAATCTGTCCCTCTTTGAAAAAAGTTTGGGCACCCCTGCAGTAGAGCAACAAGACTTTGACCCCTGCTCCTCCTCCTCTTGCACCCTCCATGCCCCCCAGATCAGCTTTGGGGGGTCATGAGAAGTCTCAGAACAGCACACAGAGGGAGGAGAAGGAAGAACATTCCATTTGGTAAACGTAAATGTTGGCACTGATGGAACAATCATAATAGTGCAACATTGAAATCCATCCAAAGTCTTCACAGTAGGCTAACTTTTACTTAATGTACACCTAAGCTAGTCATGGTGGTTCATTTCAATAGGCCTACTCTGAGCAAACATTAGCTGAATACATTGTTTACCCAATGCATTGAATACCCATTGTTTCTGTGCTATGAAACCAAGAGGTTAAATGCTGGGCTTTGTTGTACACAGCTTAAAGCTTGTATATTATTTAAAATTTAAAGAGACAGGAGATTATCAAAGTGAGACTATGGAAAACAAATATTGATATTGATGAAATAGTTGGACTTGTGCAAATAGCTTTGCTAGATTTCTTTTAAAAAATACACGAGGGAGAGCTTAATGAAACCAAAATAGGAAAATGTGAGAAATGTATGTGAAATATGACACGGTGTATTTATAATAATTTTGTGTGAGTGATAGAAAGAATGAGGTGATTTACCATAATAATTTTGAATATATGAAAACTTTTGTACATTATTTTATATGAAAAAGCAGGCTTGCTGCTTTTACAAAAGCCAAGAAATCTCTCCCCCCCCATTTAGCTGTGTGAAATATTAAATGGACATTGGGGCATTCAGCCTGCTGATGTGGCAAAATTAACGAAGGAGAGGAATTCAATATTCTTTGCTTACCTACTGCTTTTAGGGATGCATACTTGTTAAGCTCCTTCCCTGGCGGCTGCTGTTCGTACGGATTTGTGATCTGTCCCATGCTTGGGAAGGAGTGTGGATGTGTCAGCTGTGGGAGAAGAGGCGATGTTGGCACCACGTTGTTCATCTGTGTTGCATCTGTACAAGAGAAGTAAGAGAAAGATCATCTCACTGAAAACAAATCAGACCTCTAAGGTTCAACATCAGGGAAATGTCCTGCCTGTAAGGCAATTTCAGGGATAGGCAACACAGTGTCCTCCAGGTGTGGTGGAATACAACTCCCATGAACCCCAAGCAGGCATGATCAATGGCCAGGGATGATGGGAGCAGTAGTCTAGGGTCACTTAAAGGACACTGTATTACATAATTAGAATTGAGTGAGCCTGTCAACGTCACTTTCTCATTTCTCCACATCAGTTTGTGATATCATTGCAGGGAGTTGGACTAGATGATAATAATAATAATAATATTATAATAATTTATTATTTATACCCCGCCCATCTGGCTGGGTTCCCCCAGCCATTCTGGGCGGCTTCCAACCGAATATTAAAAACAATACAGCGTCAGACATTAAAAACTTTCCTAAACAGGGCCGCCTTCAGTTGTCTTTTAAAAGTAAAATAGCCTTGACATCTGCTGGGAGGGCATTTCACAGGGCAGGCGCCACTACCGAGAAGGCCCTCTGCCTGGTTCCCTGTAACCTCACTTATCACAGCAAGCCACCAGAAGGCCCTCAGTGCTGGATCTCAGTGTCCGGGCTGGATGATGGGGGTGGAGACACTCCTTCAGGTATACAGGACCGAGGACATTTAGGGCTTTAAAGGTCAGCACCAACACTTTGAATTGTGCTAGGAAACGTACTGGGAGCCAATAAAGATCTTTCAGATGACCCTCATGGTCTCTTCCAACTCTACAATCTATAATTCTATATTCTTCATGAAAATTCACCAGCATCTTATTGTGAATTTCTCCTAATACACACACATTATTTTTTTTGCAAGCAAATTTTCCTAAAGTGCGTACCTTGCAAAGCAGTTCTCCCGGATACAATGCGTTTTTGTGTGCTGTTTTCACCTGTATATGCATTTTAACCCTTGTGAATGTATTTTTGTACACGTTACTTAGATGAAGAATTGCGTTACAAATTGGAGAAATGTGAATTTTAAAAGATTCCTAGCTTTGCATATTGTTTCACACAGTGTGAATTAAGGAAGTTTGTATTTAAATGAAAACCAAAGTAGATTTCCTCCATTCCCATCTATATGCATACGCATTCTCACTGGGTCAGAACCCCAGCCCCCTGCTGTTACGAAGGCTGTGGAGGTGAGGTCACATGGGCCCCACACAGGTTTTGTATATGAATTGCAGAAAGGGAAACCTTTGATGCTGACTGCTGTTTGGGGGCATCTTCAGAGGTAAAGAAGTAATGCCCCAGAAAAAGCATTGCTATTTTACTAATAAGATGAAAATACTGTGTGGGTGTTACTGTCTGTCTGTTTGTCTGTCTGTCTGTCTGTCTATCTATCTATCTATCTATCTATCTATCTATCTATCTATCTATCTATCTATCAACTGGCCATCAAGACAGCTTGCTATTCCTTTCTAAAAATGGTATAAAAATAACCCACTAAAACTAATTTCAACACAACTTAGTGCCTTTCCACACATACCACCAAAAACAAGAGAAAGCAGCTAAAAATTAGTAAAATGGGTCATCTTATTAGAGGCCCAGAAGAATAGGATGGTTCTAACCAGAAATTTTGTAAGTTTTATGAATGCGGCCGCACACACACACACACACACACACACAAATTCATTAGAGTAATACTCATCAGAATACATTAGATAAACTATTCTAATACACCTTTAAAAGAAAAACTGTTTTTCCCATGGCTTCATTTTTATTTTTATTTTTAAGCCCAGTATGCTTCATGTTTGAAGAACAATTTGAAACCAAGTCTCCTACATGAATTTACAAGACTCTACTGGGTCCAGCCCAAGGTTTATAGCTGCTCTAACACTGCACATCTATTGATTTCTACTCAGAAGTAAGTGCCATTCAACTGAATGGGGCTGACTCCCAGGTAAATAGTTTTTGGGCGGTAGCCATCTGAAGGCAGCCCTGTTTAGGGAAGTTTTTAATGACTGATGTTTTAATGTATTTTTAATCTTTTGTTGGAAGCCGCCCAGAGTAGCTGGGGAAACCCAGCCAGATGGGCAGGGTATAAATAATAAATTACTACTACCACCACTACTACTACTACTAAGTCATCCCAGGGGCCATAGAATACAGTAGGTTCCTTCTCTGACAATGGAGAGGAAGATTCTTCTTCCATTGCTGCAGTATAAGTGGACTCTTAATTGCATATTGTTGGACCCAAGAGGCATCATTCAGGTGGTGAACTTCTAGGCTGTCTCTAATTGCCTCACACCCCTGGAATTTTGGCACCCTAAGTAGCTGAGTTACTCCCTGGAAAAGACCCTGATGTTGGGAAAGATTGAGGGCACAAGGAGAAGGGGACGGCAGAGGACGAGATGGTTGGACACTGTTCTCGAAGCTACCAGCATGAGTTTGACCAAACTGCGGGAGGCAGTGGAAGACAGAAGTGCCTGGCGTGCTCTGGTCCATGGGGTCACGAAGAGTCGGACCCGACTAAACAACTAAACAACAACAACAACAAGTAGCTGAGTTGGCCTCATATAACATCCACAGTATAGCAGTTGCTTGTTCCTCTATTGCCCTATCATTGAGTTCCTTTCAGCTCAAAAAGAGGATGGGGAAACAGCCACGATACCTTTAATGTGCCTTATTACCTCTTTCCTAATATTTCAACATTAGGGCACTCCCATTGCCTTTTAATGCTGTCGCTCAACAAAGTGGCTGAGAACCATCTATCACTTGTAACAGCCATGGCATGGCTCGCTCCAATCTAAATCACAGCACAAATCACACAGCACTGCCTGTTTTCTGCTTACTCCCTACAGAGGAGCCAGAAAGCTGAACTCGTGTGGCAGGCTAGTTAACTCCCCACAACATCAAATTCAGGGTTAGAATGTTCAAGTCCAAGTGGGAACAATCTTATTCATGCAGAGTGAATTGTTCCCTTCCCGGGAATCTGGCGGTGGCCTCAATGGCTCTGCAAAGGAAGCCAGGATTTTGAGGGACTCTTGCCACATGGTTTTCTGCAAATGGCTAATGGAGCAGAGTAGATCAGCAGGAGCACCCAGGGGAAAATATAAAAAACTCCCCACTCTGCCAATACCAAAGGAAATCGCTTGAAAGTCTGAATGCCAATCTCAATTAATAGGGAAAGCAATTCTGAAGAGTGGATGGAGAAATTAGGTGAAATTTCAGGGGGTGGGGGCTTATAATAGATGTCTTGAAGATGGACCTGAAATTCAGGAGAGTGAAATTTTAGAACCCTGGGTGTCATCTCTTGGGTATCAATTGAGTGTCACAAAATCTGTCTTGCATCTTTATCTTTGGTAAGGATCCTGATCTCTCTTGTAGCTGCTCTATGCCTTTTCAATCCAACTCATTATTTAGAACCAGTGGCATGCGGTCAGTGGACTAGGGGGACCAGGCTAGCCCCCTAAATGTTCCCGGTAAATTAGAGTATGAAAGTATTAAAGCCTAGTGTCTCCTTCCTAAAACCTGGGAAGCTTCTACCTGGGCTAGGGAGGGAGGCGTGATGCTCCAACAGGGTCCAAGAGCCCTCCTGCCACCTTCCCAAAGCCCGCCTAGCAGGCATGATGCTCCTTCTGCCCAGCTTAGGGAGGGAGGCATGATGCTCACCTGTGGGATGTCATGATGTGCCCCCCCCAATCACCACCACAAGCTGGTGCCTCTGGTTCTAACTGTTCCCCTACAAAAAATTTCACCACTGGACTAGACCTGTAACAGACAAAGCTCTAGCCACCCACTCCCACTATAATGGGGAACCTGAAAATAGTTGTTCTCCCCTCCCATTTACACAGAAGTGGATGGAATTTGCAGGTCTGATCCAGCAAGGCTCTTGTTACCTTTTTATGTTCTTATGCTATTGTTATAGGTCTTGGGTGCTGGGTTTGCGGGTGCAAGTCATACATAATTCTTAGACAAAACAAAAAAAAATTCCTTCCAGTAGCACCTTAAAGACCAACTAAGTTAGTTCTTGGTATGAGCTTTCGTGTGCATGCACACTTCTTCAGATATACTGAAACAGAAGTTGCCAGATCCTTCTATATAGTGAGAAGGTGGGGAGGGGTATTACTCAGAAGGGTGGTGGGAATGGGTGATTGGCAGATAGCTGTGATGAGCCTGTTGACGACTCTTAACGACTGCAATAGGTCTTACAGGAAAAAGCAAGGGGTGAGAAGGTGAAAAATGGCTTTGTCATGTATAATGAGATAAGAATCCAATGTCTTTGTTCAGACCAGGTCTCTCCATGGTTTTAAGTTTGGTAATGAGTTGCAATTCAGCAGCTTCTCTTTCCAGTCTATTTCTGAAATTCCTTTGTAGTAAAACAGCTACTTTGAGATCTTGTATAGAATGTCCTGGGAGATTGAAGTGTTCTCCTACTGGTTTCTCTGTCTTGTGATTCTTGATGTCAGATTTATGTCCGTTTATTCTTTGGCGTAAGGTTTGGCCTGTTTGTCCAATATAGAGAGCTGAAGGACACTGTTGGCATTTGATGGCTCTGATGGCATTTGATGGCACTGTTGGCATTTAAGAGACCTGGTCTGAACAAAATGGAGCCAGAGGGCTAGCTGAGTGTAAGTCATTAAGGAGCAAAACAGAGTAATGGCCCATCAAGGGAACCATCAAGAGAGAATGAAGACTGCCAGACAAGGAGAGGTGGGGCTCCTCTTCCAGCTGTGAGCTAGTGGGCAGAGACCACAGAGGATTTAAATGACAAGCAAACAGGAGGAAAATATCAGTTTTGCAAGTGGTTTGGCAAGCAGAGGGGGTGGGGTGGGCAGAACACCATGTCAGCTGAGGAAGACAGGCTAGAACAAAGAGACAGAGAGAGGATGGTGGATTTTTCTGTCTTTAGACCTAAGCCTGCTAAGCCTATGGAAGAAGCACGAGCCCCTCTTGAAATGTGATGTGTGTAAATAAAACCGTCTATTATAAAGACACCACAGTCTCTGCTGTG